TCGGCATGCTGAGCTGATCCTCCTTCGATCGGAAAGCTCGAGTCTGGGGAAGTGATCGACAAGACAGTGTCGGAGCAGGTGAGACGTTGAAAGAGAAAGAGTGTACATCCTTGGCTGACGCGCGGCCAGTTTTTTTTCATCGCGGCCAACAGCGCGTGTCAGCAGAAACAAAGTGTGGAGTGGTGGTCTACTACCTTGGAGGCCTGGCTTCCAGTCATGCTCGTCGACTCCAAGGGCCAGTTCTTCGACGAGACCCTGAAGTCGCACAAGGTCGATCCAGAAGTCGATGGGCCAACCTGGCCCGAGGCTCGGGTACTGCGTTGAACTGGAGGACGAGCTCGCCGCCCGTACCTCTAGTCAGAGCTGCAGGAGGACATGGAAATATACAGCAGGTGCAGGACGTTCGAAATATAATGGGCTCAAAGTGGTCTCCCTCCAAAACGGAGCCCGAAGGACGACCAGGAAGGCTCAAACAAACATAGAAAACTAACGGTATTGCGCAGCTTGGAACCCCTTCCAGGCTCTGGGCAGGACGAGTAGGGCAATTTGCCTGCAACTCCATACCACCTCTTTTGGGTATCTGTATTGTTTCTTGTGCTCCAACTCCTTGGCCCAGCGTTTGGCCCGTAAGGGAAGTGAGGGGTACGTGAATTGCCCATTCGTCTCACGTGCATTCAACACTGCCTCCAAGACGCCCCCGACAAGGCGTTCGTCGTCGTCTGCTTGCGTCTCCCCTCCTCTCCACCGTTCCCCTGGCAGCAAAGCCTGCCCAGCAGCATGGAGCTCCTAGGGCCCCGCGATGGCCCCGTCGGAGGAGAAGCCTTTGGAAGCAGGATGGCCCACCCAGGAGGTCCTGAGAGACTCCAACACGCTCAGGAGGCCTGTAAACGAACGTGTCGAGGTCTGCCCTCAAGAGCTCCAAACCGCGCCGACGGGGCGGAGCAAGAGGAGGAGGAGGAGGAGGAGGAGGAGGAGGACGAGGAGGAGGAGGAGGAGGAGGAGGAGGAGGAGGAGGAGGGGGAGCGTCCCAGACAGCTCTAGAAGCCCAAAGATCGCGCCCCCAGGGGCCCCAACCTCGTCGCACGATGCCACATGAGCGCCCCCGGAGGAGCTCAAGACGGCCCCACAGGGCCCCGACTTTAAGCAATCGAACGTCGAACACTGCACCCCAACACAAAACGTCGAGTCCATGCTGCCCCCCTGCCCTAGCCTTCTTGTCACCATCACCCTCGCTCCATACTCTGTCATCGTTCCCCTTCTTCTCCTTCTTCTGCTTGTCATTCTTATTCTTCTCTCATCGCTTTCACCTTCTCCCGTCTGGACAGGCTTCCCCTTCTCGTCCATTCCTCCGACTTCTCGTTGCACTTCTTGCTCCCACTTCATTACTGTACCATTATCCTCCCTACCGTCTGTAGCCTCCTCCGTTCCGCCCCCTCCCTCCTGCTTCCTCCCTCTCGTGCCTCTCCCTCTTTACCTCCCGCCCTCTCCTTCGTGCCCCCACCTATCCTTCCTTTCCTCCCCCGTCTCTCCTTCATCCCGCCTCTTTCTTCCGCACTCCCCTCCCCCCAACCCGCTCCCCGCAACCCTCCGTCTCAACTGCCGTCATCCATCTCTCTGCTACGTCCGCCTTCTCCCTCCACCGTCCCTGTTCTTGCGTCCGCCCCCCCCCGCCGTCCCGCTCCCCAATTCTGTCCTCCGTCCCTGCTCTTGCGTCCGCATCCCTCTTGTAGCTGGTTGTATAATGAATCAGACTCGCATTGCTTGTTTGGACATTCCAGCCGGGAAAGATAGGGGGCGCCACAAACCGGGACCGCGATCATGTTTCCACGTTTCAGCGTCTCAGCTTCCAAGACGGCCCCACGGTGTCTGGCAATCAAGTCGAAATGTTGCTTCAAGAGTCCCCAAAGCGGCCCCCGAACCACAAACCGACCAATGAGTATCCAGGGATGCTAAAATAGCCCTGCAAAAGTCCCAAGCAGGCGCTAAGAGCTCCCAGAAGCCCCCCAAAGGGCTCCCAAAAGGCGCGAGAGAAGCCGAAGTGTCTGGCTTAATCTGGCCTCATCCCGCTAAGTGGCTTTTCAATCGGGCATGAAGGCCCTTAATCCTTCTTACGAGGACCCCTCAGGAGTTGCTTCCTAACGTTCTCTCTCCTCCCCCATCCCCTCCCCACCTCCCTCCACCCCTTCCTCATCCTAGATCCTTCCCTCCGCCCACTTCCCCCCTCGTTCGCTGCCTTTTTTTTCTTTTACCAGCTTCGGGATTACGAGGCTCGTAGCGTCGGTGTTGGTGCCCTGCGGCGTACCTGATACCCCCAGTCACCATCCACCAAACCACCCCAACCCAACCCGAAGGTCTCGATTTGCCCTGCATTTCCAGTTGGGTGGGGGGGGTCGGGGAACATCGAGAAAACACACATATGCAACCCGTACCCCCCCCAACCCCCAGCCCGAAATTTGGGTCTTCGGGTTGGGTTGGGGTGGTCTGGGTAGGCAGTCACCCAAGGGGGGCGCCCCTCCGACGGCCCCAGGACCCGACCCTCGCATCCGACTATCCCCGAAGACCCCCGACGGCGGCGTCGGAACGATGGCGTGCGATGTGGCGCCGCCAGCCCGCTTGGCATCGCTCGGACGTGCGCATTTTTCCTTCGGCGAGGACCATCGAGGAGCATCCTTGATCATTTGGCGAAAAGCCACGCACGAAGCCGAACCATGCACGGGGAATGGACGTCGGAGCGATGGCCAGGGCCCTGGCGGGGGGATCGCCTCACAGGGACAGCGTGCTTTTCGGAGATCGATGCTGCACGCCATCTTCCCCACGCCAACCGCAGACCGGTCAGAAGCTCCCCAGAGGCACACAGCCCCCAAGATGTCCCAAGGAGAGCCAGAAGAGGGCCAGAAGAGGGTCCAAAGCTGGCCCAATACAACCGCAAGCTGACCGCCCGTGGAGCTCACGACGGCCCGTAACGGCCACAAGACGGCCAAGAGCGCCCGAAGATGTCCCAAAAAGGCTCGAAGACCGTTGAGGAAAGCCCAAGAGGGCCAAAGGTGAGCGGACCCCATAACGGTCAGCACCCGATGGCCCGATTGCCTGTGACCGGCTAGAAACTGAGCGCGCACAAAGCGCGCGTGTTTCGTGTAGGTATGTATGCATGCTGTCTCTTCGTGGAAGCGCAGGCGTTTGGTGTTGTGAGAGCGTGTTGTTGCGGTGCTTGCGCTGTATCTGCGACGTGTGCGAATGTATGTTATGTGCGTGTGTGCAGGTGCCCGCTTCGGATCATGGTCAGATTACCGCCTAGCTTCTGGCATGGAAATCCGGCCGCAACCCGATCTTACTTCGGAAGGCATCGCCGCCAGTTGGAAGCGAATGGGTCCCAGGTGCCCCAAGCTCACACCAGCAGCCGATGCCAATCACCCAAGCACATACCCCGAGCTCCGGCGTTTGTGTTGTTGTTGTTGTTGCTGTTGCTGTTGCTGTTGCTGTTGCTGTTGCTGTTGTTGTTGTTGTTGTTGTTGGTGTTGTTGTTGTTGTTGTTGTTGTTGTTGTTGTTGTTGTTGTTGTTGTTGTTATTGTTCTTGTTCTTGTTGTTGTTGTTGTTGTGGTTGCTGTTGTTGTTGTTGTTGTTGGTGTTGTTGTTGTTGTTGTTCTTGTTGTTGTTGTTGTTGATGATGTTGTTGTTGTTGTTGCTGTTGTGGTTGTTGTTGTTGTTGTTGTTGGTGTTGTTGTTGTTGTTGTTGGTGTTGTTGTTGTTGTTGTTGTTGTTGTTGTTGTTGTTGTTGTTGTTGTTGTTGTTGTTGTTGTTGTTATTTTTGTCATAGAGGGGACCCCTAGAGGTGGTCCAGATACCTACCATGGGACCCGCCTTTGCACCCCGAGCCGCTTTTTGACGGTGTCGGGGCCCGGCAAGGGCCCCAGAGGCAAAACATTAGGAACTCTTTGGGGGCGCGTGTTGGGGGGGCAATACATGGGGGGGGGCAACGAGGGCTGCAGAACGGGGGCGCGACCCCCAAAAGACCTTCAGTTGAGCGGCGCCAGAAAAATTGGGGTCGTCTGCGCCGACATTGGCGCGCGAGCTGCCCGCGTAAGGTTGCGTGTGAGCGCTCTCGTCTCACTGTGGTCTGCCGGACTGGTGGCCCGCGTAAGACGCGGCGTAAGGTCGTTGTGCCATTTCCTGCCTGTGGGTAGCCAAGTGCAGTTGCAATAATACGTCATGGATTTGGCTACTACTAGAGATGTTGCCATGACTGATATCGGGCATGCGGCATACGTTAAATGCGATCGTGTTGGATTTTCATTGGCGCCCATCCGCTTGGTTTTTATCTGTCACAAGCATAGTGTGATTTGGTCGTCGTTCGCCCGCCTGCGCCACCTCTGCCGCGGCATCGACAGGAGGTGGGGGTGAGTGAGAGTGTGATGTGTGGATGTGCCGCGAATGTCTTCCCGTTCCCGAGGACGCCCGCAGAAGTGAGCCCGGGCTGAGCGGCGGCGGAGCGGCTTCGCCCTGCAGAAGAGCAGTGGCGTTGGCTTCTTCGCTCACGTTCCGCATCCTTTCGCCTGCCTCCTCGCTCCCTGCATGCTCCTCATCCGCCCCCTCGTCATCCTGTTCATCCCTGTTAGTGGTAGTTCTTTGGTTTTGTTCCTCTCTCTGTCGCTCCCTCCCTCTCCCTCTTTCTCTGTTTCTCTCGCTCGAAGAAGAAGAAGAATAGCACAACGAATAATGCAGCACACTGCGTAAGTATACACTTTCGGAGCTCCGCGCGGATTTCCTGGATCGGCGCTGGATCCCCGCCAGAGCGCCTCCAACGCAGGCCAGAGGGCGAGTGCAACGCAAGCTGCTCCTGGCTGCGACGGCCCGAGTGGTGAGCTCTCTCTGAGGTGGCTCTCCCGGTTCCGCACTGCTCACCGCAGGTGTTTGGTGGCGGTGCAGCGCCGCCTCGCGCGTGGGTTCCCCACCCGCCGCCGCCCCACGATTGCAAGTACGGCCAGGCACGCCCACGCCCCCTCTCTCCTCCGATTCCTCTGATCGGTTCTGCTGGTGCCACGCTTGGCTGTGGCTGTGATCCCGCCCTGCCCACCGTAGGAGCTTGGTTGGGCTGCTCGGCAGGCTGCGGGCTGGACGCGGGCAGAGATGCTAAATGGCGGCAGGCTCGCGTCGTGCCGACGCGACGACGGCCACGCCGCGGGCGTTCGAGGCTGAGCGCCGCCATTGGCCCATTCCTCGCCGCCGACGTGGAACGCTCTGGCGGTACACACGCCAGGCTGGCGCGCCGGGCCATTGGTTCCACCAACGGGGCCACCGGCGCCCCAGCGTCGCGTCGCTTCAAGCCCTCGGAGCTCCCTCCGTCCCCTTCGGCTGCACCGATCCCCAAGCGCCCACTCATCATATCCGAGGTGGAGCGGTCTGGCGGTCGGAGGGCCGCCGATCGTTCCAGGTCGAAGGACCCGCGCGGCGTCAGAAGCCGACCGCCGCGGGGCCGCCGCGGCACGAGGCTGCCGTGCTCGACCGTGGCCAGGCCACAGCCCGCTCGATACGGCCGCAGCCCGACTGGCTGCGAGCTGGCCGCGCGGTGTCGCTGTGACGGTCCGAAGCGAGCGTGCTCACGAGGGCGCGGATGCGACCTCCAGGCCGAGATGCGACCCTGCGTCGGCGACTCGCAGCAGCCTTCCCGCCGAGCGTGACCTCGTCGAGCTCTGGCTGCAGGCGCCGCTGCGGATATGCCCATGTGGGAGCTGATCGCAGCAGGGTGTGGCTACAGTCCGAAGCGAGCATGCCCGGGATCCTCGACCCCGAGTCGCCCAGTCATCGCCGATGGGGACCTCGCAGCCAACCCCGCGCAGGGATCGTGCGGCTTGCGATCGGGGGCCAATCGCCGATCTACCGACGACATGTCGCCAACTCAAGTTCGAGGTTTCCCCCCCCGAGTCGGTCCCTTCGTGATTATCGGGTCATGACTCGGGCCTCTGGCGGTCGTTCGGGACGATCGGGCACCCCCGAAGCGCCTTCTGCGAGGCGCGGCCGTTTGAGGGCATCTCGAGGTTGGAAAGCAGAGGACCGACCAGGCTGGAAAACCGAGAACCGACGAAAATGTTTGAAAACCCGATCCTTATCCCTCATACGTCCTACCCTCCCCTGTCCTTCCCCTCAAGCGCCCTACCCTTCCCTGGAGGAACCGCCCTCATGCGCAGTTATCAGACGCGCCCAGCCACCAGGGAGAAGGGGTCCACACGGGCAACGACACGGACCGTTCCATCACACATTCAAGTGCACGCGCCCCTGAGAGCAGTATGCCTCCACTGCCTCACAGACACATGCGTTTCTTCGAAGGTTTCTTATTCAAGAGGTCAAGCCATTCCGCCTACCCCCCGCGGAAGCGGGAATTCCACGTCCGGAAGTGACGTGCTGAGTGGCAGCATTTTCTGCGGAAGCGACAATGCAACGTATCCACTGTATCCAATAGTTCTTTGCTGCGTATGGTGTTGTGTTACATTATTATACCTTCCCCCAAAACCCCCCTTGGAGTCGCGCCATTCCGGGGTACCAAATTTGACAGCCACCATCTCAGGTTATCCAAATTTGCAAAAAAAAAATATGTGAAATCCACGATGTGGGCCTCTGGGAGGCCAAGAGGGCCACGAAATGGCCCAGGATGCCCCCCGGGGCCGGCCACGCGGGCCCCAAGATGGTTCCTCCAGCATTTGTGAGGCCCTCAAGACGGCCCAAGGGGGCCCCAAGAGCGCCCACAACAGCGCCCCCAAGACCAAAAACATTGTTTGTCCTATGGTTATTGACTGATTTTAGCGTTCTCGCCTGCTTCGAGTTTCAAAAACCCACGACGGCCAATTCAGCAGCCAAAATTGCCCCAAGATGGCCCAACCACCAACAAAAAGGGGCCCGAAACGGCCCTGGAAGGACCAAAAACGACGCCGAAGACGGTCTAGCATGCCCCCAAGACGGCCCAGGAGGACCCAAGAACGTCCCAAGGCGGCCGCGAGAAGCCCCCACGACGGCCTCCGGAGGGGTCAGACGGCCTCCAAACCCGCCAAGAAGGCCCCCAAGCGGACCAGCATGGCCCCACGAGGCCCCAGAGAGTCGTCCGAAACACCCCCCAGAGACCAAGAGGTCCCCAAGGAGCTACACTGTCACCAAACCGCGCATCTGCTGCTCAACGTGGCGCCTCTTCCGACCGGAACTCGTGGACTTCCGTTTCCGCTCGGGATGTTTACAGTGGACGAGTTTGTACTCACCAGGGTCGCCACTAGCGTCCGAATCACTGCTGGACGCATCGGACAGAACGCACTTGTGCATCGTACGGGAAGCTTCCTCAAGCAGCTCCGCAGGCTGGTCCTCCGTGCACGTGCGACGCCTGTCGCGAGGGGGGGTGGAAGTATATCAATGGCACGCTGCCGCGGGGTGCTCGAGGGTGTCATCGGCGCGATTACTTCCTCGCTTCTCCCCCGAAGTGGCGACGCGAATCGACAGCAACACGCTGGCTGGGCCCCCCACGGCGGCGTGACATTGATACACCCTTGGCGATGCTTAAGAAAACTTAAGTTTTCGGCCAGTGTCTCGACTATTCTTAATGTTTCAATGTAAATCCTAAGATTTTCAGAGGAATTCTGGGTTTTTATTCAAATTCTGAGACTATGAATTTCTTAACCCATGATTTCTTAAGCATTTCGCAGGGTGTACTCTTCTCCCCCCCGAGCTTGTACAGGCGGTCAGCCGGCCGAGCGTGGAGATGCTGCCGCTAGCCGGACGCACGCGGCGAGGTCCAGCGCAGCTCTTTCCCCGAGGTCGTTCGCTTCGCTGCACAGCTGGGCACACGATCCAAGGATCCACACGAGGTCCTCCTTCTCCTCCTCCTCCTCCTCCTCCTCCTCCTCCTCCTTCCCCAAGACGGCTCTCCAAGGATGCACACGACCCTGCCGCGCCCGAAGACGGCCTGGGGCGCTCCCAAGAGTCGGCCAAGTCTCATGAAGTCGGTGCCCACAAGCAACGGCGAACATCTTCCAAGACGCCCAGACGCCCGCACTCTCCGCAATCCGCACTGAGCTTACAGGAGGCGCACGGTACCCTTACTTCGCGTGCTTGCACGTCTATGTGTCTCGTGCGTTTTTTCGAGATTGCGGTCTACTGGGGCTCTCGCGCGTTCATTCATGACACACGCATCGGCTTGGCAGCGGGCGCGCATGGACTCCGCGGACAGCGCGGGCGCAGCCCGCCGCGAAGTCCCCGATTCAAGACGAGGTCTGGACAAAGGCCAGGACGGCGTGAAGGGCGGTGCGGAGCAGGGGCCATTACAGCGGTCACGGGTGAGACAAGGGCACCCCCGAGAACGCCTGCAGAAGTAAAACACAGGTTTCCATGTTTTTCGCGATTTCCGCGTTCTCGCATTTTCCGACTTGAGGGCCACGACAGCCGAAGCAGCTTCCAATACATCCCCCATACGGCCCAAGAAGGCCCCAAGACTGCGCACCTACATTGTCCAAACAGGCCCCCAAGACGTTCCAAGAAGTCCTCAAGATGGCCCAAGAGGAGGTTCAGACATGATTCCCCCGTTGCGAACCTTCTCATTTTCTTCATCGCCCATTCTGACACGGGAAGAGGCCACACAATAACGGCTTCTGAAGAGACCAGACGGCGAAAGATCACCCCAAAAGGCCCCAAGGACGCCCCCTTGAGGCCCCAGGAGGCCCCCGAGACGCCTCCAAGAGGCCCCAAAGAGGATCCCCCCAACTCCCCACAACGACTGAACTTTACGTGGTCCGATCCGGACCGTGGTCAGCGGAATGGCGCCAGCTTCTTGAATCCACGTCTGGAGGTGACGTGCTGAGCGGCAGCGTTTTTCGTGGAAATTGTGATGATGCAGTGTATCCAATGTATCAAATGATTGCAGAATTGCCACATCGTGCGTTATGTTACATTATTATGTCTTCCCACTAACCTCTCCTGGTGTCACGCTCTTCCAAAGTGACCCCCCCCCTTCCTCGGCCTTTCAAACCTGTTAAGAGAACCATGGAAGATCGGCGATTTGGCCCAAGAGAGCCGCAGGTTGGCCCAGGATGGACTCGGGCCCAGCCAAGCGGGCCCCAAGACGGTCCAAGATTGCTTCTCCAGGGCTTGTGAGGCCCTCAAGACGGCCCAAGAGGGCCAAAAGAGCGCCCACAACAGCGCCTTCAGAGACCAAAACCTTGATATTCCATGGTTTTTGTTAGGGGAGTTTAGCGTTCTCGCCTGCTTCGATCTTCAAAAACCCATGACGGCCAAAACCAGCAGCCAAAGTTGCCCCAAGAAGGCCCAAGGAACCCCCAAAAGGGGTCCAAGACTGCCCGGGGGAGGGACCAAAGACGGTCCAGGAGGCCCCCAAGACGGCCCAAGAGGACCCCAAGAATGCCCACAGGCGGCCGCGAGAAGCCCCCAAAACGGCTCGGGAGGGGTCAGACGGGCTCGAAAACCGCAAGAACGGGCCCCCAAACGGACCGACATGGCCCCATGAGGCACCAACAATTACGCTACCGAGGAACCCCACATACTGATTTTTAATCTTATGTGTGTTGCTTGTCATTATCATCTTTGCGCAATCCTGCGTTCTAAACCCTCGTCGCGAATCGTCGTCGTACTTGTCGTACTCGTCGTCGTACTCGTCGTACTCGTTGTCGTACTCGTTGCCGTTCTATCGTCTTACTCGTCATCGTACTCGTCGTCGTACCTCGCCATCGTACTCGTCTTCGCATTCGTCGTCGTGCTCGTCGCACTCGTCGTCGCACTCGTCGTCGTCCTACTCGTTTTGCTCGTAGTGCTCGTCGTACTCGTCGCCGCACTCGTGGTCATCGTCGTCGTCGTCGTCGTCGTCCTCCTCCTCCTCCTCCTCGCCCCACCCAATCCTCTCAACTCCTCCGCACTCCTCTCAATTCCTCCGCACTTCCCTCAACTCCTCCGCACCCCTCTCAACTCATCCTCTCACCTCCTTCTGTACTCATCTTTCTGCACTCCTCCGCACTCCTCTCAACTCCTCCTCCCAACTCCTCCACACTCGTTTCATTCACCTCGGCGCCCATCTCGAGCATTGATTTCTTGAGCTGCTCGCACGGCGGTGGCAGCGCGGCCATGGCGCATTTGGGCGCCATGACGGGGGCCGTACCTTTGACGGAAAGTCACTAGCAGTCGCCCGCGATCACATATCGCGCGGTCTGAGCCGACATGAGCCAGGGTGACTACAATTCTTGATGGTGATGATAATGCTGATGATGTTGATGATGATGATGATGATGAGGATGAGGATGATGATGATGATGATGATGATGATGATGATGATGATGATGATGATGATGGCGCCCCCCCTGCTTGCGTACCCCCGTGGCCTCAAGAACAAGTGACGCGCGCTACGCCCTGGTAGACTCCACCCCCTGCGCACCCCCCATGGTGTCGAGAAACTACCACGCCTGCTATGCCTGGACGACTGGGGCGTATAGAGACCGCGGTGAGAGACCACCCCCTGCGCACCCCCTGTGGTGTCGAGAAAGTGCCACGCCTGCTATGCCTGGACGACTGGGGCGTATAGAGACCGCGGTGAGAGACCACCCCCTGCGCACCCCCTGTGGTGTCGAGAAAGTGCCACGCCTGCTTGCTGGACGACTGGGCGTATAGAGACCGCAGCGAGAGACCACCCCCTGCGCACCCCCTATGGTGTCGAGAAAGTGCCACGCCTGCTATGCCAGGACGAGTGGCACGTATAGGGACCGCAGCGAGAGACCACCCCCTGCGCACCCCTTATGGTGTCGAGAAAGTGCCACGCCTGCTATGCCAGGACGACTGGGGCGTATAGAGACCGCAGCGAGAGACCACCCCCTGCGCACCCCCTATGGTGTCGAGAAATTGCCACGCCTGCTATGCCTGGACGACCGGCGCGCATAGAGACCGCAGCGAGAGACCACCCCCTGCGCACCCCCTATGGTGTCGAGAAAGTGCCACGCCTGCTATGCCAGGACGACTGGCACGTATAGGGACCGCAGCGAGAGACCACCCCCTGCGCACCCCCTATGGTGTCGAGAAAGTGCCACGCCTGCTATGCCAGGACGACTGGGGCGTATAGAGACCGCAGCGAGAGACCACCCCCTGCGCACCCCCTTATGGTGTCGAGAAAGTGCCACGCCTGCTATGCCAGGACGACTGGGACGTATAGAGACCGCAGCGAGAGACCACCCCCTGCGCACCCCCTGTGGTGTCGAGAAAGTGCCACGCCTGCTAGCCTTTGCGCCAGTGTCGTGGATAGCGGCCGAGCTGAGAGACCACCCCCATGCGCACCCCCTGTGGTGTCGAGAAAGTGCCACGCCTGCTAGGCTTTGCGCCAGTGTCGTGGATAGCGGCCGAGCTGAGAGACCACCCCCTGCGCACCCCTGTGGTGTCGAGAAAGTGCCACGCCTGCTATGCGTGGACGACTGGGGCGTATAGAGACCGCGGTGAGAGACCACCCCCTGCGCACCCCCTGTGGTGTCGAGAAAGTGCCACGCCTGCTATGCCTGGACGACTGCGGCGTATAGAGACCGCGGTGAGAGACAACCCCCTGCGCACCCCCTGTGGTGTCGAGAAGGTGCCACGCCTGCTTTGCCTGGACGACTGGGGCGTATAGGGGCCGCGGTGAGAGACCACCCCTTGCGCACCCCCTGTGGTGTCGAGAAAGTGCCACGCTTGCTATGCCTGGACGACTGGGGCGTATAGAGACCGCGGTGAGAGACCACCCCCTGCGCACCCCCTGTGGTGCCGAGAAAGTGCCACGCGTGCTATGCCTGGACGACTGGGGCGTATAGAGACCGCGGTGAGAGACCACCCCCTGCGCACCCCCTGCGGGGCGAGAAAGTGCCCACGCCTGCTATGCCTTACGACTGGGGCGTAATAGAGACCGCGGTGAGAGACCACCCCCTTGCGCACCCCCTGTGGTGCCGAGATAGTGCCACGCCTGCTATGCTTGGACGACTGGGGCGTAGACAGACCGCGGTGGGAGACCCCCCCCTGCGCATCCCCTGTGGTGTCGAGAAAGTGCCACGCCTGCTATGCCTGGACGACTGGGGCGTATAGAGACCGCGGTGAGAGACCACCCCCTGCGCACCCCCTGTGGCGTCGAGAAAGTGCCACGCCTGCTATGCACCCCCTGTGGTGTCGAGAAGGTGCCACGCCTGCTATGCCTGGACGACTGGGGCGTATAGAGACCGCGGTGAGAGACCACCGCCTGCGCACCCCCTGTGGTGTCGAGAAAGTGCCACGCCTGCTATGCCTGGACGACCTGGGGCGTATAGAGACCGCGGTGAGAGACCACCCCCTGCGCACCCCCTGTGGTGTCGAGAAAGTGCCACGCCTGCTATGCCTGGACGACTGGGGCGTATAGAGACCGCGGTGAGAGACCACCCCCTGCGCACCCCCTGTGGTGTCGAGAAAGTGCCACGCCTGCTATGCCTGGACGACTGGGGCGTATAGAGACCGCGGTGAGAGACCACCCCCTGCGCACCCCCTGTGGTGTCGAGAAAGTGCCACGCCTGCTATGCCTGGGCGACAGGGGCGTATAGAGACCGCGTTGGGAGACCACCCCCTGCGGACCCCCTGTGGTGTCGAGAAAGTGCCACGCCTGCTATGCCTGGACGACTGGGGCGTATAGAGACCGCGGTGAGAGACCACCCCCTGCGCACCCCCTGTGGTGTCGAGAAAGTGCCACGCCTGCTACGACTGGGGCGTATAGAGACCGCGGTGAGAGACCACCCCCTGCGCACCCCCTGTGGTGTCGAGAAAGTGCCACGCCTGCTATGCCTGGACGACTGGGGCTTATAGAGACCGCGGTGAGAGACCACCCCCTGCGCACCCCCTGTGGTGTCGAGAAGGTGCCACGCCTGCTATGCCTGGACGACTGGGGCGTATGGGGACCGCCGTGAGAGACCAACCCCTGCGCTCCCCCTTTGGTGTCGAGAAAGTGCAACGCCTGCTAGGCTTTGCGCCAGTGTCGTGGATAGCGGCCGAGCTGAGAGACCACCCCTCTGCCCACCCCCTTTGGTGTCGAGAGAGTGCCACGCTTGCTAGGCTTTGCGCCAGTGTCGTGGATAGCGGCCGAGCTGAGAGACCAACCCCTGCGCACCCCCTGTGGTGTCGAGAAAGTGCCACGAGCTGTGCTGCGCTGTGCTGAGCTGAGCCGTGCTGGGCTGTGCTGAGCTGTGCTGAGCTGTGCTGTGTGCTGAGCTGAGCTGAGCTGTGTGCTGTGCTGAGCTGAGCTGTGCTGTGCTGTGCTGTGTTGTGATGTGCTGTGCTGTGCTGAGCTGTGCTGTACGAAGAGTGAGGTGTGTGTCGCGGGTGCGGCGCGGCAGGGAAGAAAACCAGAACCCCACGAAGCATGTGGGGAAAAACCTTCCGAATGGCCAAGCAGCCTCACTGAGGCGCCCGAAAACGCCCTTGCGCATGATGCAAAAGCTTCATCAAAGAGCTTCGCAAGCTGGTCCTTTGTGCAGTCAGTTGGCGGAACGACCTCAGGGAGAGCGTGATGCTCAGCAGTAGGGCCCTCTGCAGCACCGCCGTCAGAAGAAGGGCCCAGAAGACCAGCAGGAACCACATCCCCATGCAGGCGAGGCGGAGGACCAAGGAGTCCACCACCTTCATGCGATTGCCCCTTCGTGTTGAGAGACCGGTCATAAATCTCAGGAGCGCTGCGACCAGCAGCCCGTTCACGCCAAAGCGCTGTCGCCAGCGGCTGTGCAGAGATCAATTGTGGCAGGAGCTGGGATAGGCGTCCGTGCTCAATGGCGACGGCATCCTCGGAGATCTCGCTCGGGTGGGAATGTCTGCCAGCGGCGCTAAAGCGGCAGGCTGGATAGTATTGGCATGCAGGCCTCGCGGCAATCCGCGGCCCGACCTCCAGGACCTGCAGCCAACAAGACGTCGAGAGCACCAGATGGGGTGCAGGTCGGCGCAGTTTCTCGGTGACGGTCGGGAGCAGCATGGTGATCGGCAGCCACAGCACCTTGATGTTTATCACCCTGGGCTTCATCGGGTTCTTTCATTCCTGCATCCGCCTGAGGACCACCAAGCCGTACGTGGGGAGGTGACTTGGATGAAGTGAGACTCCACGCACTCGGGGCAGGACATGAACGACGCGAAGAACGAGCACGCCGTTGCCCGAGGAGACGCCCGAACAAAGCGGAGAGCCTCCCGCCTGACCTTGGGGAACTCCGTGTCGATGCTTATGTGATCTTCCTCAAGACGTGCCGCACCGAGTGGAGGGAGCGCAGCAACACCATCGGGGGGATCATCAGGCGGACCAGACAGCAGCAGGACCGTTTGACTCGGGAGGAACAGACTGTAGACCGTCGTGGCGCAACACAGCATCTGGACCCAGAGTCTGTGCACAAGAACCTTCAGGATCATCGACGGCTCCGAGGGGCTCCGCACAGGGACAGCGCAGAGCCCACCGAGAGCCGCGATGAACCACACTAGAGTCTTGAACGGCGTCCGCAAGAAGAGAATCCACGCGCGCATTTGGAAGATGACCACCAGGAGCGGCCCCATCGGCAGCAGCAGCTGCAACAGCGATACCACGGTCGCCGCCAGCAGCATCAGGGACACTTTTGCGAGAACCGTCCAAAGCCACCTGACAGACAGGTTGAGCCTCACCAGCATGAAGAAGCTCCACTCGCGCGTTTGGAGGACAGGCACCAGGAGCGCCCCCAGTGGTAGCAGCAGCAGAGCGAGCATCAGGAATGACATCCGCAGCGCACCAATCACCATCAGCAGGTCCCCCGCCATCGGTAAACCAGCAGCCTGCCGGAGACAGATAAGCGTATTCGTGTTGAAATGCAGCAGCTGTTGGGAAGGCACGTGACGGCGTCGGCGACCACGAACGCAGCTTCGCCCAGGCGCCTGCACAGCAGTCCAAGGCCTCCCACGTAGCAGAACGCGACGAGTCTATGCTAATTGTATTCTCCTGCATCACGAGCTTTGCCAGGATTGACCCGGAGAGCGTAGAGATGCCGCTGACGGACCGCTCCAGCATCGCAAGCTTCGCGAAAATGCCATCCAAGCCGATACCCGTGTGAAAATCACCTGCTGGAGCGCCGGCGTGCACCGCAGGGCAGGGGAGTCGATGGTCTTCCTCTTGGAGAGGGTCACGCTCCGTGCAGGCACCAGCGAGATCTTTTTTGTGGAGTCGATCTGGGACGACTTGATCTTCGCATTCAGCTCAGGGAAGTCCGTGCCGTCAAGGTCAGCCCAGCACACGAGTTTTGCGTGGCCCACACAGCCAGACGTGGCGTCCATGCCGGTGGGGTGCTTGGCCTGGTCGGCTTCGAACATTCTGCGCCGAGCAGAGGTCCGAGTAGAGCTGTCAAGGAGACCTTGCTTCCACGCGCGGTGGATCGCCTGCTTGCCAGACGAGTGCTGGGCGCCAAGAGCTCTGCTCAAAGCAGCGCGAGCGAGTTTGCCACGGACCATCCTCTTGATCGCCGGCGCCCCCGCCCTGGGCGCTTCAACGTATTTGCACCCCGACTTCGAGCGAGCAGTGCGACATTCAGGAGGGAAAAAAACACACAGACACAATTAATCCTCGATTCCCAGGAAAATATGGGAAAATATGGGAAGTGGGGGGGAAGACAGAAACCCAGAAAATATGGGAAAATATGGGGACTATTTTTATTTGTGTGTATTTATTTGTGTGTCCTAATTTCCCTTTAGACATCTGGCCTCGCGGGCCTGCCTGGCCAGCTGACCGGCCGAAAGCTCGCGGCCCAGCTGAAGAGCACCAACGGAAGAGCGTCGCCCAGGCATCGCGATCCCCACGGCGAGGTGGGTGGGCAGCGTCACCAGCAGTAGTGCACACGCGCCATGATGACCCATGCAAAGGCGGGGATCCGTGCCATCCTGAGGCATGCGCCGGCGGCGCGGTCTCGTGCTGCTCTGCCTGCTCGCTCGGGCAGCTCCTACAATTCCGACAAGTTCGAGGTTTGCTTCGGCTGTGACGGTCACTTCGACTCCTCCGACACCCACCTGGACGACGCCACCGCGGGCTTGAGGCGTTCTGTGCGCCAGGCGGCCCAGGCGGAGAGACCGATTGGTGACGCTCGCTCCTCCTTGTCCTCCTGCCCCTCTTCCTTCTCCTCCGCCTCTCCCTTTTCTTCCCTTTGTTTGACGCTGGGCGAAGTTAGATCGAAGATCGTAACGTCAGTGTGCTTCGTCGTCGTCAACCTCTTCCTCCTCCTCCTCTTTCTCCTCCCTCCTCCTCCTCCTCCTCCTCCTCCTCCTCTTCCTCCTCCTCCTCCTCCTCCTCCTCCTCCTTCTCCTCCTCCTCCTCCTCTCTCCTCTCTCCTCGTGGGTGCGCGCTCGCGGGTCTCACTCTCTCGACGTGCTGGGGGGCCCTCCCGAGTTTCAACCTGATCCTTTGCTGTACAGCTGGCCCGCGCAGCCACTCGCAAGGGAGGAAAAACCACCCGGACCGGACACCTTGGCGTTTACCCGACGGCTCGGGGGTGGACAGAACCCACAACAGTGACACGTCGATTAGAGAATTGTCCTTTTTCGGTTCTCGAGAGGGCGCCGCGGCCGTTATTTTCCAGGCTCGCGCCCGCCAGGTTTGGGCCTCAGGTCGTTTTCACTAAACCACGTTTCACTAAAGGGGGGTCTGTCCATCCCCGAACGGCCTTGGGCGTTTATCGACTGCACGGTAGGAGTGACCTTTCGCCGGAGTGATCTTTGGTGCGGGCCCAATGGGGCCCTCCCGATCGCCGAGCGTGATGCGGTAGTTGCGTCTCGCGCGCTCGTTTTTGGTCCCCCGCGGCCCCCACAAAGCCGCGCACTCAAGGTCACTCTTACCCAGGGTCACTCTTGCGTGTAGTCGAGTTTGCTGAACAGCCCTGCTCTGCTCGATTCCTTCGGTGGGGGCGCTGAGTAAACGGCTTCGCGTGTCGGGGTGGCTGTTCTCGGGGTGGATTTTCTGCCCTCTGTACTGATCTGACGCACATAGGATTGCAAAAAAAGAAGGATTGCAAAAAAACGAAGGATTGCAAAAAACGAAGGATTGCAAAAAACTCGTTCGAAGGGTTTTTTTGCAATCCTTCGGTTTTTTTTTGCAATCCTTCGTTGCAATCCTTCGGGTTTTTTGCAATCCTTCGGACGGGCAGGCTCGGGATTCCGGGAGGTGCTGCTGGCGGCACTCCGCTGGAGGTGGAGCGAAGTCTGTCTCGTGTCCTGGCTGCCGCGGGCGCCCGGCAGGCTGAAAAAACTCCACGCGGCACAGGCGTGCGATGAGCATCGGTGTGACGGCGCTCCTCCTCCTCCTCGTCCTCCCCCTCCTCCTCCTCCTCCTCCTCCTCCTCCCTCCTCCTCCTCCTCCTCCTCCTCCTCCTCCTCCTCCCCTCCCCCTCCCCCCCTCCCCCTCTCCCTCTCTCCCTCCCTCTCTCCCTCCATGCTCTGTGCCCAGCGTTTGCGTGTAATGTTTTGTTTGTTTGATTTCCGAATGTCATGTGCCATGTGCTTTGGGAGTTCGAAGTGGCCCCGGGTGAGAAACTCGAGTGCTCCAGCGGCGCTGCCCATCAACCTTACTATGTCCACACGTGTAGAGTTGAAGTCGTAGATGGACACGTATAAATACGATATATTTGTAGTTATAGAGAGACAGAGAGACGGAGCGAGAAAGCGATAACGGCAACACTAATAACGATAATGGAGGGAAATAGCCAGGGAGGGGAGGGATGGAGAGCACGAGATACGCATTGCCATGCCGTTTGGTTACCTACCGTGCTTCTACACCCGGAACCTTCTGCGTCTCGCCGTCCAGAGTGTTCTGCCAAGAGCCCGCACGGAGACTGCTGGATCGCGTGGGCTCGCTGCATGTGAGGTAAGAGCAAACGGCTGCGATCAGTACATTGAATCGACTTCTGCCCCGTTCTAACGTTTTCAGTTCGAAGTGTGCGTTCTGCGCATTGCGCATGCAAGCCAGTTCTGCATTTTACAGTAGCGCGTCGTGTGTGCAGGGATCGTTCAGTCTCGGGTTGCTCTTACTCTTCTTCGCCCTCCCTTGTCAATTCCTTCACCCTCCTTCCCACCTGTGATTCAGATGCTCCTAATGGACTTTCTCTTCTCATGCTCTTCACGTCCTTCTCTCGCGTGCTTGTACGAGTGTCCGTTATCACGACAGCACCTGACGAGTAATATCGTCCCCCCGTCCCATGGCGATTGTACTCCTTGCAGCACCCCCCCGTGCCTGTAGTCATCGTCCTTCGTCGATCTGTCCGCTTGCCTCTGTTGACTCCCACAAGATCCGGATCACCGATCGGAATCGACGTGCCGCTGATCATCACATAGATCGGATCGTGGTGGTCGAGCTGGCTCTCGATCGCTACGCCCGCTGCTCTCGGGACGATCTTGGGGTGGGGCCCTCAGCTATTCTTGGAAACGGCAGGGCCGTTTTTTGTTTCCGCAGTTTCTGTGTTTTGTAGGTTTTGTTGCCGGTTCTGGCGCCGATTTTTGTTGTAGGTTCCGTCGCCGTTTTTGTTTCTGGTTCCGGCTCCGCATCCGTTTCTTTAGTGATTGTATTGCGAAGGCCTTACGGCCGGTGCCGCCGACCCTGAAGACGAGGCTGTCTGTGACGCCGTGAAGGCCGAAACGTCGTATGAGCTAGAAATGTAAGTTTCCCGATGGAAAAGTAATGAGTGTGGCCTCTTGGGCCCTTCTTGTGGGTGCTCTTGGAGGAGGCCTGGGACGTCTTGGAGGCTTCTTGGTCGGTCTTGGGGCTATCTTGGGCGTCTTCGGCCGATCTTTGGGCGACTGGGGGCACTCTTGGGCCGTCTCGGGGGCCATCTTGGGCATTCGGACCTCATTTGGAGTGTTTTCGAGGTTTCGAGACCGCCCGAGGAAAAACTAATCTGCCCCCCCCCCCCCCCCCCCCACACACACCCCGGACCCCCCCCCCCCCCCCCCGGGGGACCCCCCCCCCCCCCCCCGGGACCCCCCCCCCCCCCTGGGGAAGGGATCAAAGGGAAGGGGCTTCCCTTCGAATCGACAACGGCATGACGGCAGGAGGGTACGGCCCAAAAAGAAAAAAGGGGGAAGGAAGAAGGGGGGGCGGCGAGGAACGGACGAGGAAGCCCCTCGCACACGCCGACAGGGTCGGCGGATTTCTCCGTCTCGACGAACCGAGGTCACCCGATTCTAAGGCGCCTTGGATCGGCACGGATGCGGGGTGCCCCCTCAAGGCTTTGCGGCGGCGGGTGACCGTGCGGCATCGCCGCCCAGGGCCCACTTCGATCCTGTCGATCTGCCTCGACGTGGGTGTGGGCCCGCTCCGATTCGGTTTTTTGGCTCCCTGCGGGAGGAGGAGGAGGAGGAGGAGGAGGAGGAGGAGGAGGAGGAGGAGGAGGAGGAGGAGGGAGGAGGAGGGGGAGGGAGGAGGAGGAGGAGGAGGAGGAGGAGGAGGAGGAGGAGGAGGAGGAGGAGGAGGAGGAGGAGGATGCGATTCGATCTCGACTCCGTGCCGGCGCGGTCCGATCCGGCGCGCACTTCGATGCGACCCCGCCTCCCGGCTCGGTGCCGCCCGATACTGCCCGTGTCCCGATCTCGCGGCTCTCCGACCGTGCGACCGACCGAGAGCGGCACGCCCGCTGAGGGTGACGAACCAACCACACACACCCATACCCATAGGGGGATCGGAGAGGGCTATGGGTCAGAGCGTGGATTACCTACCCCGCTTTCGCTTCCAGGCACAACCAAGTCATACCACGCGCCTCATCGTCAAGCGGCCTGACCAGTACAGGCCGTAGTTTGGCATCGTTTGGTATCTCTTGGACGCGAGGGTGGTCAAAAGCGAGGTAGGCTTGTTTGCCCCCTAAACCCGCACCCATACCCATAGCCAGTCCTCCTCACAACGACCTCCCTATCGGTATGGGTGTGTGTTGTTCGTTCGTCAGAGGGAGCGCGGCGGGGTGTGTGGGGGGGGGCGAGGGACGCGCAGGGGGCGCGAGCGCGGGGGCGCCCTTGGACCCCCCCTCCCCATCCTTCGGAGGTGGACAGGCCTCCTACCCTGACACGTCGATTCAGGAATTGGCCGTTTTTCTGTTCGCGAGAGGGCGTCGCGGCCGTCATTCTTGCGGGTCCAGGTCCGTCGGTTTCGGTCCCAGGTTGTTTTCACAAAGGGGGGGGGGTACTAATGGGAGGTTTGTCCACCTCCCCATCCTCCCGCCGAAAAGCATATGCGGCGCAGCTGACACTCCGGCCTTCGCTGCCAAATCAGTTGCGGGGCAGCGGACTTCCCGCCTTCGAGCAAAAGCCAGGCTGCGGTGCACTTGGAGCGACCTCTCCTCGAACAGAAAGAAGGGGCATCTGCGAACAAAACGCTCCGTATCGGTGGGGTCGCGGCTCGCGACCCATGGGGCCTGGCCCGCGAGGCCGCAGATGCGGATATGTTTGTTCGACCGCGCCCGCGACGACCCCTACCCTCCCACCCCACAGAACCTTCGCAGGTTCACAGAAGACTGGCTGAATTTGGCTGCCAGCAGGCATGATCACATGCAGCAGATGCGCCAAACAAGGAACCAGCCTTCCAGCAGATGCCCCACGAGCATGCCTTGCCCCACGATGGCCCCGGGGACCCACGGAAGTCCGGGGGCGCCATCGAGCCTTCAGAGATCGACGAATATTGTGACCACAGCCATCCCCACCCCCCAAATACTATAGCACCTTCGCAGGCTCGCAGAGGAGTGGCTGACTTTGGCTGCCGGCGGGCTTTGATGCACACAGCCGCCTTCCTCGGCGCCTCAGCGCCACCGCCAGGCGCTCACAGGGCCGTCCCCCGGGAGGGATGGCCGGCGACTCGCCTCGCCTCGCCCCCCTTCCCACGCGCGTTGTAGGCACATCGAGCGAGTCTTTTTTGGAAGCTCACTTCAACATACATGATGCACTTGTTTGATTTTTCGCCGAGGCTACCGAAGGCTACCGAATGCCACTAAAAGCAGCCAAAGGCTGCCAAAGGCAGGTAGAGCTTGCCGAAAGGCGCCTGAAGGCCACTAAAGGCCGTCAATCATACATTGAAGGCCGCCACATGCCACGAAAGGCGACTAAACCGACGCGGTACATGTTGGACTGAGCTTCCAACAATATTCACATACGGCACATCGAAGAAGAAATCGGCCTGCCAGCAGCTGCCCCACGGAAACTTCTCAGGTCGGGCGAAAGGGGGGGATTGGGAAAGGGGGGGTTACGAAATCTGCTGCATGCAGCTGGTTTCGGCCTCACCAAGGGGCCCATTCCTCGATACATGGGCGCCTCCCGGCGCCGGGAGGCGCCGGGAAAATCAGCTACGTGAGCTGATTCTCAAACCCCCCCTTTGCTATCCCCCCTTTCGCCCGACCCGACAGCAGCTGCCCCACGGAAACTTCTCGCAAGGAACCACAGGCGGCACGCCATAGGTTTTCGGAGGCTCGCGCCGATGTCTCGGGCCGGCGCCGGAAGCCCGCTTCTGACGCCAGGAGGCGTTGGGAGGATCAGCTGCGTGAGCTGATTCGCTAACCCCCTCTTCTACTCACCAGCCTCGAACTTATCCCTATCCCTAAGATTGGCACGCCAAAAGTACATGACAATCTAAGGGATACACCCTCAGAAACTGAACTGAGGAAATCCCTAAGATCGCCATCGTGATGAGGCGATGCCCAACATAGGGATAGGGATATGTTCCAGGCTGGTAATCTGCTGTCCCTTCGTCCAACCCGAGAAGAGTTACCAGCCTGGAACAGATCCCTATCCCTACGCTGGGCATCTCCTCATCACGATGCCAATCTTAGGGATTCCCTTATTTTTTGAGGGCGAATCCCTAAGATTGTCATCGCCTTTTGGCGTGTCAATCTTAGGGATACGGATACGTTCGAGGCTGGTAAATCTTATGCCCACACTCCCGATGTCACGATTTTCTCATAGTGTCGACCCCTCTGAGCTTTGGAGGGCTTCGGAGGGCCTCGCAGGGCCTCCAGGAGGCGGTATGGGGGGGTGGACCCGTGCGTGCGCGCGCGGCACCCAGACCCCCAACGTAATGCTTTTTCTCACATCGTCGACCCCCAGAGGTCCTGACCCATTCGTTGGGACTGGCTGTCCCGAGCCGTTTTTGGACGGTCTCAGGGCACGGCAAGGGCCCCCATGGTAGCCCGGAAGATCGGAAGAAGCCGTGCGTCGCGAGTTTGTTCGCGACGCGAAGGGGTCTGGGTACAGCTCCTCGTCCGCCCAGATGAGAGGGCTCCGAGTGCTGTCGGTCGCTGGCGCCGTCCAGGGATGCCTGGGCATGATGTGTTCCCAGACGGCGCTGGCGCAAATCGTGTTGTGACCAATCGACGGGGTCAATGCAAGCGGGGGTCGGCCAGAACGCCGGATCTTGCAGGATCCGGCGGAGCCAGGGCTCCCCTGACCCAGGTTTGCGCGCAGGATCCTGCGGGTTCTTGCAAAGCTTGACCTGCCAGGGTTTGCATTGATCCGGGTCAGTGCGTCCTGGACCCGGGGGGGGGGGGCGGGAGACGAGGGGGCGAGGGCGTGCGGGAGCGGGAGCAGGATCCGAGGAGGAGGAAGCCCAGGGGGGGTGAGGAGGAGGAGGAGGAGGAGGAGCGATGATCGAGGATCGAGGAGACGGATCCAGGAGGACGGAGGAGGATCGAGGGGGAGGAGAAGAAGGAGGAGGAAGAGGAGGATCGAGGGGGAGGAGGAGGAGGAGAAGGAGGAGGAGGAGGAGGACGGAGGAGGAGGAGGACTGAGGAGGAGGACCGAGGCTCGCGAATCACAACAGAGAGCGGCTTCCTGTGGGGCTGCCCGGTGCTCAGCGCCGTGCCCCCTCCCGGGCTCCTCGGCCGCCACCTGACCTGGCATCGCTCGGACGTGTGCCTTTTTTTGTTTTTCTCGGCGAGGACCCTTGAGGAGCATCCTAGATCCTCGAGCGAAAACAAAAACACGCACGAGACCAAAAGATGCACGGGCAATGGGCGTCCGAGCGACGGCAAGCTGAGCGACGCAGAGCAACGGGTCCAGCTGCGTCGGCATTGACGCGTCAGCTCTCCGCGCAAGCTCGCGCGCAAGCGCCCCTCGTCTCCGAGACCCGAGGCGGCGTGCCGCGCCGGCGGCCCGCGCAGTCCGCCGCGGGAGGTCTCCACGTTCCGGAGGCGGAACATTGGGCAGGGTGTGAAGGGGAGGAGGAGGAGGAGGAGGAGGAGGAGGAGGAGGAGGAGGAGGAGGAGGAGGAGGAGGAGGAGGGAGGAGGAGGAGGAGGAGGAGGGAGGAGGGAGGAGGAGGAGGAGGAGGAGGAGGAGGAGGAGGAGGAGGGGGCGCCACTGCTGAACCTGGTGATGTGATCTGCCGTGGACGAGATCGCGCCTCCCACGACGGGCACCGCACCCTCTCTCGTGCCACGGTCACCTCTCCGACCTCCTCCGAACGCGTCACCTCGCGTGAGGCCCGTGCCTGCTTGTCGCAGCCGTGCCCCCCCGCCTCCTCCGTCTCCTTCTTCTCCCCCTCCTCCTCCTCCTCCTCCTCCTCCTCCTCCTCCTCCTCCTCCTCCTCTTCCTCCTCCTCCTCCTCCTCCTCCTCCTCCTCCTCCTCCTCCTCCTCCTCCTCCTCCTCCTCCTCCTCCTCCTCCTCCTCCTCCTCTCCTCCTCCTCCTCCTCCTCCTCCTCCTCCTCCTCCTCCTCCCCCCCTTGGGGCCTCCCCCGCCTCCGCTCCTCGCCGCCTCCCCGGCACGCCGGAGGCCGCCGCCGCCGCCCGCGGCCGCCGTCGCCGCGGCCGGGGTCGGCCCGGTGCGCAGGGTGCTCTGGGCGCTGTGCCGTCTCACCGGGTCCCTGCCTTAGTAGTTGTCGGGGTTGGACAGACCTCCTACCCTGTCAGTTGCCTCCTCCTCCTCCTCCTCCTCCTCCTCCTCCTCCTCCTCCTCCTCCTCCTCTCTCTCTCTCTCCTCGTGGGTGCGCGCTCGCGGGTCTCACTCTCCCGACGTGCTGGCGGGCCCTCCCGAGTTTCAACCTGATCCTTTGCTGTACAGCTGGCCCGCGCAGCCACTCGCAAGGGAGGAAAAATCCACCCGGACCGGACACCTTGGCGTTTACCCGACGGCTCGGGGGTGGACAGAACCCCCAACAGTGACACGTCGATTAGTGAATTGTCTGTTTTCGGTTCTCGAGAGGGCGCCGCGGCCGTCATTTTCCAGGCTTGCGCCCGCCAGGTTTGGGCCTCAGGTCGTTGTCACTAAGCCACGTTTTACTAAAGGGGGGTCTGTCCATCCCCGAAGTTAGCGGCGCGCAGAGGGGGGTGGGGGGAGGGGGGAAGGCTTCTTAGAAGCACCCCTGCTTCTTAGAAGGCGCGGGCCTTCTCTATAGACGAAGAAGCAGGGTGCTTCTAAGAAGCCTTCCCCCCTCCCCCTACCCCCTTTTGCGCGCCGCCAAAGTAGGCCCCGGAAACGGGCCCCTGCCTTAGTACAGCCGGGGCCCTGGAGAAGGAACCCTTTTCGTTGGTGAGGGGCTCCGTGTTCCGTAAGTGTTTGGCAGCTTGCCTCGGGCTTTCCTCATGTTTTCGATCGGAGATCGAAGGTTGAACTTAGGAAAAAAGGTGCCTCGTTCCTTATTTTGGGTTCCTTAGGTCAAGACCCCCGTTTCCGAGAAAGTGTCCCTCGAAAATGGAAGAGGCAACAAAAAACGGCGACCAGCAACGGCAAAAAAACGGTTCCAGGATTGGAGCCGGAGCCGGAACTGGTCAAAAAAAGGCGACGGAAGCGATAAAAAAACGGCGTCGGAACCGGCAAGAAAACGGCAAAACGGAACCGGTGAAAAAATTGCCCTGTCGTTTCCAGGGCCCATTAAGGTCCCTGCCAAGGGTGGAAAAACCACCCCGACCCCGACAATTCGCGTTTGCCAAGCAGCCCTGGGCGTTTACAAAAAACAGCCCTGCCCTGATCGATTCCTTCCATGGGTGCGCTTGCTACACGGCTTCGCTTGTCGGGGTGCTTATTCTGGGGGTTGATTTTCTGCTCTCTACCCTACTCCAGATCTCGTAATAAAAGGGAGGGGGTCTCAACCCTCCCAGACGAGAAGTTTTAGAACCCCCCCCTGGGAGAACCCTCCAAAACATCGTCCCCAGACCCCCCCAGGCCCTCCAAGATAGCTTGGAAAAGACCCCCCCCCGAAATGAGACCCCCCTCCCTTTATTACGAAATCTGGAGTACCCCCAGACATCCAGCATCGGGAACCGAATCGTGACGGACGTTGTCCAGAGTTTTCGGTCTCTCAGGGCCTCTGCCGGGCCTCGGGGCCGTCGACAAAACACAGCGCGAGATGCAGGACCGGTCCCCTGCAGGTGGTCGAGAGGTCGGGGGCCCGTGTCTCGAAAATAAATCGATGCGCTGGCTGTCTGGGTATCCCCATCCTGGCCCCAGCCATTTCGCCACCCAAGTTGGGGATGGGCCCCTCGAAGCCGGAAGGTCAAGCAGTGGCGAATCGTCCTGGCTCGCCTATAGCCCTACCAGACAATGTTCTAAGAACCGATTGTGGTTTCCACAAAATGTCCTTAGAACGTTTCTGGAGGGGACTGTCTTATTTTACATATCGGGTTTATGTTCTAAGAACATTGTTGTTGATCTTACCATGACGCCCTCAGAGCGTTTTGGAACGTTCTGGAGCGGCTGCGGCGCCCAAATCATGTTCCAGAACCGCTAGATCATACATATATACATATATATATATATATATATGTATAGATCCTGTGTTTAACCTGTTCTGGTTTTGTCCTGGTCCGGGCTTTGTCTTGCAATAATCGTGGGGGTATCGAGGGTTGCGGGAAAGTCTCCCCAAAAATGCCCATAAGCGGCCCTGGAATTGCCACCAGGGTGCAGGAAAGGCGAACGGTTAGTGGGCCAATCTTCCATCATCGCTACCATAGGTAGGACAGGGAAGAAGGGATGATGGGGAGGTCCTCCTCCTCCTCCTCCTCTTCCTCCTCCTCCTCTTTCCTCTTCCTCTTTCCTCTTCGTCTTTCTCATCCTCCTCCCTCTCCTCCTCTTTCTTCTCCCACCAAAGTTGGCAGCGGTGGAAAATCGAACCATCAACGCTTCTTCACCCTACTTTGGCTTCCCTCTCCGCACAGTTCACGAATGCCCCAAGGGCGGGAGACGGCAGACGGCCTCGCTGGCAGGGCGCGGTGCGCATGAATACCCGGCGGGGGCAGGCAGTAGCGGCCGCCGCGCTCGCGGAGTGCTTCCCGAGGTGCCCCCGTGTCTGAAAGAGGTTGCGCCTGCCCCGCTCTTGGGGAGGTGGCTCGCCTTGGCGCAGCCTCCGCCACACAAATATACACTTTTTTGATCCGCGGGTCGAGAACGCACCTCTTCCGGTCGAAGCTAAGCGGGCCGCGCGAAGCTTGAATTTGGCAGAGAAAAGGAGGGAGGAAGCGGCGGAGCCCCAGAGCGAGGTCGAGAGGAGGCATAGCCTCGGATACAGGCGGTGCCCACACAAATATACACAGACACCCTCCAATGGATTTGTCCTGGGGTTGGCTGTGTGCAAGTCCCTACTGAGGGCCAGCGACTTTGTACTCCGCCACCCTCCCAACGCCCGAAGATGACAGTCTCCCCATATGTGATGCACGGCGGATCCAGGCCATTTGCTAGTAGGTTCTTGCGAGCAGTGGAACGCGCCTGTCTGGTGCCATCACCCCTGCAGACCGTAGTGCCAGGAAGGGGGAAGGAGGAAGGGATGAGGTGAGGAGGGAGGGCAGCATCGGGGAGGAGCCGAAGGAGGGGAAGAGGGGTAGGAGGGTAGGAGTGGAGGGAGGAGAGGAGGGGAGGGAGGAGGGGAGGGAGCGGGAGGAACCGAGGACTCACACACGTGTACACCTCAGGCTGCGCCCCTGCCGGCCTCGTCGTAGAGCTTGGGGGAATTCGTGGTTTACCTACGTGCGACGAGCGAGGTGAGCTGAGGGAGGGAGGGCGGGAGGAGGAAGTGGGAGTGGGAGGGGGGGGCTCTTGCCCGCTTCGGCCCTCCGCCCCCCCCCCCTCGCTCCCGTCTCTTCCCGTCCCTAGGGCCGCCTCTGCCCTTGCGCCCCTCCCCTCATCGTCCTCTTCTTCCTCCTCCTCCTCCTCCTCCTCCCTCCTCCTCCTCTTCCTCCTCCTCTCTTCCTCCTCCTCCTCCTCCTCCTCCTCCTCCTCTTCCTCCTCCCCCTCCTCTTATTCCTCCTATTTCTCCTTCTCCCGTCTCCTCCTCCTCCTCCTCCTCCTCCTCCTCCTCCTCCGTCTCCTCTTCCTCCTCCTCCCGTCTCCTCCTGCTCCTGCTCCTCCTCCTCCTCCCGTCTCCTCCTCCTCCTCCTCCACAATTACTCAATATGAAAATACTCTTCCTCTTCCCCTGATGGCGTCCGGGTGATGGCCGCGCACCCTCCGCGTATTGCTTTTTTACACACAGGATTCCCGGGAAATCCCGGGAAACGACTCTCGCTGAGGCGCCGGCGTCATTTTTTCCCAAAATGCTGCTCTCGTTGAGGCGCCGGCCTCATTTCTGCTCCCGAATCGTTCCGAATCGTGCTCCCGCTGCAGCGTGGGCCTCATTTTCGGATCGGTGTTTGGCCTCCGTCGTTCAGGATGGCGTTCTCGCCCCAGCGCGGGCCTTTTTCTCGCGCGCCCATCCGCCCGCCACCACCGCGCCGCACCGCCACCACCACCACCACCACCACCACCACCACCACCACCACCACCACCACCACCACCACCCACCACCAGCACCAGCACCAGTACCAACACCACCACCACCAGCACCACCACCACCACCAGCACCACCACCACCACCACACCACCACCACCACCACCACCACCACCACCACCACCACCACCACCACCACCACCACCACCACCACCACCACGACAACCACGCACACACGCACGCACGCACGCACGTGCACCACCACCCACTACGCACGCGCGCGCGGAGCCACAGGTCCGCTACGACACGCGTCCGCGGATAGAGAAAATCAGCGCCATGGAAAGGGATAGGAGGGAGGGGTAGGACGTCAGATATGACGCGAGCGCACCTAGCTTGTCCTCCCCCCTCCCCCTCCTCCTCCTCCTCCTCCTCCTCCTCCTCCTCCTCCTCCTCCTCCTTGTCCTTCTCCTCCTCCCGTCTCCTCCTCCTCCTCCTCCTCCTCCTCCTCCTCCCTCTCCTCTTCCCGTCTCCTTCTCCTTCTCCTGCTCCTCCTCCTCCTGCTCCTCCTCCTCCCGTCTTCTCCCCCTCCTCATCATCATCCTGATCATCACCATCATCCCGTCTCCTCGTCTTCCTCTTTTTTGTCTATTCGCCTTCCCCAGGGCCGCCCCTCCCCCGCCGCCGCCGCGCAGGCCCATTGCCGAGGTCAAGGGGGCTCTCCCGCGCCCGGCCGGGGGCCCGTGCGGCCTACCCCCGGGGGGGGGGCGCGATGTCGAGCTTGCTGAAGCACTCGCCGACCTTCCTCGTGGGGACGCGCCCCCCCTCCCCCCTCTAGTTTTCAGTCGGGCCTGTCCCTCTACGGGGGGAATGTTCAAGAATAGTCAAAACAAAGTATGGGGATCATTTTTTTGATATTGTTGGCAATCTTTTGAGGATTGTTTGCATATTTTTGGTTTTTCGTCGAAAATCCCCCTGTAGGGGGACACGCCCGACTTCACTCTAATTTGGACGCCCGAAATGGGTACGGAAAACATGGGCACAATGCCCAACAACAAATGTTGCCCCAAGCCAACAGCGGCCGCTGTTGGGCAGGCGGCCTTCTGTCTCGAATGGACACGGGCCGCGGCGGTGTGGCCAGCGAGTCTTCTTCAAAAGGAACAGGAACTGCTGCTGGGCATGGTGCCCATTCTTTCCGTGCCCACTGCGTGCGTGCAGATGTAGGGCCCCTATAGAGCCTCTAGGGAAGCAGGCAGCGACATGAGCTGAACAGCTCGGAGGTTCGCGCGGGTTCCTCGGATCGGCGCCGGGGACTCCCTGGCGGCGCCTCCGGCGCCGCCCCAGAGAGGGGGGGCCAGCGCCGATCCGAGAAATACGCAGGCACCCAGGAGTTGTTATGTTCATGTTGCTGTTTGCTCCCTTACCCTCCTCCCGTCGCCTCTCGTTGTCTGAGGTCCTGGCGTTGCGATCTCTTCTCACCGTGCGTTTTCGCCCAATCACGGGCCCGGGACCAGTGCAGATCAAGATGGTACGAAAAATGTGTGAGAGGGATTGGGTCCAGGGCTCCAGGCGTGATGTTTTGAAGTTTTTTCGTAGCGTCGGGTTTCAGGGTTGTGAACAATCGCGACGGGCTGGGCCAAGCCTTGCGCACCTTAGAGTCAAGCCTCATGCTTTTCGGGAGCTGGGCCATAGTTGTGTTGAAATCGATTGCAGAGACCACCCGTCGGTATGCATTGCCAGCGGTGGTGTTGTTTTACGTCTGGTGCTCTACTTGTGGGCCATCGTTGTGTGGAGATCGATTGCAGAGAAAGCCCGTCGGTGCGCATTGCCAGCGGTGGTGTTGTCTCACGTCTGGTGCTCGACTTGCTACGGTGGCGCAGACATGCGCGCCGCTCAAGGGCGAGACTTGGAGACAGCTCGGCAAGAGACCCCGTCCGAATAGGCCTGGAGTTCCCGTCGGCCTGCCAACGGTTTGCCCCATCTGGTCGGAGGCTTTGGAGGTTAGACGTCGGCCCCCGGAGGCCCTCGCCGAGCCCTGGGACCGTCAACGAGACGATTCGGGATGGAAAACAGGTCCTGGGGATCGGACGGGGTTAGGACGAGGATCGATGCGTTCCAGAGCGTTTCAGGGTGTTCTCAGAGCGCTCTGGATTGCTCTGAGAAGGCCGCGGCGCCCGAGACATCCTCCAGATGCGTTCCAGAGCGTTTCAGGTCGTTCTCAGAGCGCTCTGGATTGCTCTGAGAAGGCCGCGGCGCCCGAGACATCCTCCAGAGCCGACAGGTCTCAGAGATTCCCGGTGTATCTTCACCCGGATTTGTCCTCGTCTTGGCTTCGTACTAGGGGGTGATATCGACTTTTTGATGCGCGATCTTCGGCAGTCCCGACCCTTTCCCCAGGACCAGTTTTTCGTCCTGGGTCGTCTTTTGACAGTCCCGGGGCCCGGCGAGGGCCCCAAGAGGCCCAACTACGGCGAAACACCTCCGAATTGGCTGTTCCAACACCTTGCGGGCCTGGGCGTCGAGCCTCTTCTTGGCCTCGTCTCCGTCCAGGCCTCCTGGGAGGCCCCCGTCGCGCGCGAGCTCACGGCGTCGGGGGCCTGGGCGTCGAGCCTCTGCCTGGCCTCGTCTTCGTCCAGGCCTCCTGGGGGGCCCCCGTCGCGCGCGAGCGATCACTGCGTCGGGGGCCCAGGCTCCGCGGGGCGCGCGGGCCTTCCCCCCCCCCCCCTTCCGTCCTCCGGTGGCCCCCGGGTGGCCCTCCGGAGGCGGTGCCGCCGAGGCCCGCCGAGGGAGGAGGGGGGGGGGGAGGGGGCCAGACCTCCTACCCTGGGGGGGAGGAGCAGGAGGAGGAGGAGCAGGATAAGGAGAAGGAGACGGGAGGAGGAGAGGGAGGAGGAGGAGGAGGAGGAGACGGGAGGAGGAGAAGGACAAGGAGGAGGAGGAGGAGGAGGAGGAGGAGGAGGAGGAGGGGCAGGGGGGAGGGGCAAGCTAGGTGCGCTCGCGTCAGATCTGACATCCTGCCCCTCCCCCCCATCCCTTACCATGGCGCAGATCCCCTCTCTACGCGTACAGTCGGATGTCGAGCAGGGCACAGATCCCGAAAAGGTACGCGATGCATTGTAGAGCACGGCATGGCACGGCGTAGAAGAGCACCGCAAAGCGTAGTATGTCACAGCATGGCGTGGCGTGGCGTAGTGAATAATTGCATCACAAAGCTTTGCAACGCAAAGCATGGCATCGCACAGCGGCCCCGAACATAACATTGCATAGCATGGCGTTGAATATCAAAGCGAAGCATGGCATAGCACGACGTGGCACTTAAGCACTGCATATCACAGCCTCAGCTGAAGGCATGGCATCGCGCAGCGGAACGCAACCTAGCATTGCATTGCATGCCGTGGCATGGCACGGGAAATGACGCCAGCGCTGCAGCGGGAGCTCGATTCGGAACGAGCGGAAGCGCAGAAATGAGGCCAGCGCTGCAGCGGGAGCACGATTCGGAACGAGCGGAAGCACGGAAATGAGGCCAGCGCTGCAGCGGGAGCACGATTCGGAACGAGCGGGGCCCGAAAATGAGGCCAGGGCCTCAGCGAGAGCAGCATTTTGAAAAAAAAAAAAAAAAAAAGCAGGCGAAAACCCAACTCCGGGGAATCCTGCGTGTAAAGAAACAATACGCGGGGGGGGGGGGGGGGGAGGGGGCGAACACTCCCAACCCGTCATCAGGGGAAGGATGAGAGTAGTTGTCATATTGAGTAATTGTGGAGGGGGGAGGGGGACAGACCTCCTGCCCTGGCACGTCGATGGAGGAACTGGCCGGTTGCGGTTCGCGAGGGGGCGTCGCGGCCGCCATTCTTGCGGGTCCAGGCCTGTCGGTTTCGGTCCCGGGCCGTTTTCACTATAAGGGGGGGGTTTGCTAAAGGGAGGTTTGCCCACCGCCGAAGGGGGAGGGGGATGGGGAGGGGAGGGAGGGCTCGGCAGTGACGTTCGGGACTTGGTCACGGCGCCCACATCGCAGAGCGGATGCCGCTCGGAGCACTTGTGGGAGGGGCCCGGAGTGTCCTGGAGAATGTCGCTCCTGATTTCGAGGTGAGCTTCGAGCGGATTCGTTTGGCCAGGAATGATGAAGACTACACAGGATCCACGCGAAACTCACTTCTTTTTTCGCTCGCCGTCTCGGAGTGTTGCGTTGGCAGGAGTCCATGCGAAAATCTGCTGCAGCACGTCTGCAAGGGCGGTGCGGTGAGATCTGCTCCGGCGCAGGACGCCCGGAGGCGCCCCTCTCCTCCTCGACTGGGTCGGCGCGCTTCCCGCCGACACGCTCCCCAGTGTAGATCTTCTGGCTTTCCATCCCGCGAACTCTTCACCGGCCTCGTGTGAGCAGCAGATAGGGGGCCACATGCGAACCCTACCCCTGCCCCCCACGAGTTCAAAGGGGGAGGGTGGGGTTCACTTCGTTCGGGAGCTCCCGAACGAAGTGAAACCCACCCTCCCCCTCAGAACTCGTGGGGGGTAGGGGTAGGGTTCGCATGTGGCCCCTAGCAGAGTGCTGTACACAAAGGCGGCACAGTCGGCCCGGATTAGTAGGTCGACCCTGCCAGCTCAAGGGTACCCTTGTGTCCTGTGCCTCGCGACACGTGCCCTCTTACACTCCTGAGGCGAGGTGGCCCTCGGAAGGGTCTTGTGTCCTCTCGCCTGTCCTCTCCAATCAGGTCCGACTGTGTGAGGGTGGGGTGGAGCGCCACGGCAGGGAGGCGCACCACTCGGGTGCTGCCAGAGGTGCCCCTGGCCCCACACGTGTCCCTCGGGATCCCGGGGCGGCCCAGATGGCCTCGGGAGCACCCCCTCTTACGAGGCCCCGGAGAGCCTCAGGCGCCCCAGGATGCCGCGAGAAGTTTCCGTGGCCTTAAGTCGGGCCTGTCCCTCTACAGGGGGAGAATTCAAAAATAGTGAAAAAATAGTCAGGGGACGATGTTTTGACTATTTTTGCAGATTCGGGGGGTATTTTTGCATATTTTGAATTTTTCGCTCAAAATCCCCGTGTAAGGGGACACGCCCAACTTAGCCCTAGCCATTTTGGCTCACCGTGTTTGGACCCGGGGCAGGAGTTTTCCACGCTGCCCAGCCGAGCTGCCCGCCCGCGCGCAGACGCGAAGCCTGCCCCGCCAGGAGGTGCCGAGCTGCCCGCCGCATGCCTCTGCTCACCGCCGCGGTGGGAGCCGCCGGCACCGCCCTGGGCCTGGCGGCCCTCGGCCGTTGCGCCGGCCGCACAGCCGAGGAGCAGGAGGCCATGGCTGCTGCGAGCAGGGGTGCCTGCGTCAAGAGGCTCGGCGTGGCCACGTGCCTCCCCGCTGGCAGCTGGATGAAGGCCAGCCGGCACGTGGCCCTCGTCGGCGGCGTGCTGGTGATCGGCAGGCGCCCCGGCGCGGCGGAGCGCTCGCTTCAGCTCCGCGGCGCACACGTCGCGGTTGACGGCCACGTCGTCAAGGTCACCGCGCGCTCTGGTGCAGCCTTGGCCACGTTCTGGTTGAACAGCCCTGTCGAGGCCGCGCGCTGGGCAAACGAGCTGGACTCGTGCGCCACGCCCTTGCCCAAGATGCCGAGCTTGCCCAAGACGTCGAGCCTGGGCAGGCGGAAGCTGCAGATGGAGGCGATCAGTGCCGAGCAGGATCTCTGGGAGGCGAGGATCAGGATGGCGCAAGCTCCCAGAGCACAGCAGGACACGCTGCTGGCCGAGGTGGCCGAGAAGGCGCAGGAGGTGGCCAGGCTGAACTCGGGCACCGAAGGGAACGGAGCCCTGCGGAAGAGGCCGAGCCTCG